ATAAAAAGCTGTGAATTTTCTGCTATTTTCATCTAACTTTACATTGTAATAACCCTGATGTAAATCTAAATGCGTAAAATAAATACTACCCGTCAATGATTCTAAAATTTCGGTGATATCTGGTAATGGAAACTTATCGTCCTCTATACAATTGTTCAGCTTCCGATAGTCAACCACTAATCGCCATTTTTTATCTTCCGTTGTATCTGACTTTTTGGGTACTAATAGTATCGGACTTGACCAATCGCTTTTGCTAGGCTCAATTATACCTTCTTCTAACATTTTATTAATTTGGCGTTTAACTTCATCTTTTTGAGAATATGGCAAACGATATTGTTTTGAAAATACTGGATTTGTGTTAGGCTTTACAGAAATAGTATGAGTATATATATCTGTTGTAGTTAACTGATCTCCTGGAAGGTAGAATATATCTGAATACTTTGCGCAAATGTTTTCAATAGTTTTCTGTTCCTCATCATTTAAATGTTTCAATTTCATTAATGAAAATAACTTTTTTACTCTATCAGCGTTTTTTTGTGTTTTATCGAATACGCAAACATTAAACTTACTAAGTTTCTCAATAGTAGGCTCTATTTCTGTAAGTGTTAAGTCATTTTCAGTTACATTTAATATCCGAATAGGTATTAATCCGTTTTGAGGACTACCTATAGAGCTTGCTAAAAACACTCCATCTCTCAATTCTTTTGATGACACTACACAATCTTCATCGATGTTCGTATGTACAAAATGTATTGACTCACTTCTAGCAGGAATGTCAAAAGTAACACTATGTTTATTTATCAAAGGCAAAGAAAAAGTTGAAATGTTATTATGTAATGTTAAAATATTTTTATGAAAATCTAATTGAGCTTTAAACTTGCTTAAGAAATCACGGCCTAATATTCCACTTCCCTTAATGGGCAAGCTATTAAAAACATAAAACTTCTGACTAATTGTTTCATCATTCAAGAAGAATGATAAATATAGGTATCCGATTGCTTGTACTTTGCCACCTAAACCGTTTATTGTTACAGTCTCTTTATGGATAGGAATGTTACATTCTAGAGCATGTTTATACGTACATGCTGACAACGATGCTCCAGAGTCTACTAAAAAATAATGTTTCTTATTACGATATGATGGCGAATGCAAATAAATGTAACAATTACTATCACTAGATAAAATAACTTTTTCACCGTTATTCACGAAAAAACTGATTAGATGTTACTTCTGATTCTCCCGCTGTTTCCGAATTTTGCATTAAATTAACGTTGCGTTCTTTACGCATCCCTTGATTTCCTCTGTTTGAATTATAAAATTTACCTCTATATTGTTTGCGACCGGTAGTTCCTCCTCGAGTCCACTGTCCTCGAGAATCAAAGTGGGCTCCATGCTGCGCTCCTCGGCCTCGTCCTCTGTACGAATAAAAGTTACTGCGACCTCCACGCTGGCCTCTACCTCTATAATTATTTGAATGGTTCCTGTTATAAAAATTATTATAAGGCTGTTTGTACATACCCATAACTTCTCCAGAAGGTGCACCTATGGTGACTTCCTCGTCTTGTGCAGCCTGGACAGCATCTTTAAGCGAGCTGTAATTTCTAGCAGATATAATCGTACTTAATCTACGATTCCGCAACCCACTGGCAAACTGCTTAATTGCCATTTGTTCGTTTATTGGTTTTAATATATTATAGCATTGATCATTGCCATCGGCTTGCGCAATCGTCAGATCTACAAATAATTCTGTAATGTCCTTCCCGTAATCCGCAATTGAACTTTCATTTTGTTTAATTTTTTGCAACTTATTTTGTATTGCCGTTGCAGCTTTCTTACATAATAACACACTTCTCATATCATTTATTAACTCGTCTACAGTATCATATTTCGCTTTTAACTTTATCTTAGCTTCTTGAGAAAGTCTACTTTTCAGCACGAAGTTTATTAGTTTTGTTTACAAGAATTTTCTTTTAAAATAGAATTATAATAGACTATATTATCAATCAATTGCTTCGTATTAGACTCCTCATTTGTCATAACAGGTAAAAGGCTCAAGTCAATTTTTAAATCAAATGAACTCATCTTCGAAAAATAATCTGATTTATCACTCTGACACAACAATAAACTATCCTCATATAAAGCTAAAAATTCACGACAATGATTCTGTATTAATAAAATATCTTGGCTACTATAATATTTATTCTTAACTTTATCATTAAAATCAATTAACCAAGTCTCATACTGTTGATAAATAGCATCAACTTCAATTACCTTCTTTTCCAATACTCTCTCTGTCCTTCGTTTCGGTCCTAACTTTATTAAATTTATTCTTATTTTCTTTAAATCATTATATAATGTCAAAATTATATCCATTAGGTACTTAACACCACAACTATTTCTAACTATACTAACTTAACTATTCATGTTAACTATTCATATTATAACATTAGTATTAAGTTTTATAATTAAGTACGAATGCAAACAAACGCAATTAATACCAAAGTCCAAAGTTCAATTCACGTTCAGTCCGTATTTGGTAAGGCACTGCATTGTTTTAAAACTAAGATATTACGCAACTCGATTGATATAATATTTGCATATGATTATTGAAACGATTAAAACCGATTTATACTTTCCGCACCAATACTTTTTAAGCATTTTTTTTTTTTTTTTTTCACTTATGGCACTTTTTTTTTACACACTTTTATGTTTCACACCATATCTTCTGAAAATGTTTTAGCCGTGTTCTCGTTGACCCCCGACTGCAAACGACGACGAAGAAAAGATCTCCTCATCATAGTGATCCGATTGATCTCATTTGTTATCCATCGTACATGGCATCTTCTATACAGCCGGTACACGAAGTATATCAGTCCAAGTAGTATAACCAACAGGATAATCGCCAGGAAAATGTTTGTTATAGACATATGAAAACGAATTTCGTCAGTTTTCGCCTCGTTACTGCCTGCAGCGTTTTGGATAACGAAGGTCTCTTCCTTAGATTGTTGTTTTCCCATGGTCGTAGATTATACGTACTCTCACGTCAAGTTCGTAATTACAATAAATCTGCACTAACTCCATTGTTACTAATAATTCGCGGTACTTAGGTGGGTACACAGTACACTCGAACGTCTCAAATTCGCGGCGCGCGTGTTGACCATCCTGGCATGGTCGCCATGTAAGGTGCGGTGTTTATATGAAATGAAACCAGTGGATGCCCGAATAATACTGGCCTATATTTGATAGAATAACATATTATAAATGGTTACATTGGTACAAAGACAATACAAGATAGAACTTACAATAGGTATAATATATGCCTCACAGTACAATGTACGTGCAATATCGGAAATTCTAACAAGTTTAAACGCGATATCTTGCAAAACATGAAGCCTTTCATGTTGTATTATCGCCATGCTGCGCTATCGAGCGACGACGTCAGTGTTTCGTTTCTCACTTTTTGATGCGCATAGCCAGTAATCTGTTAAATTAAAAAATCATATAGGTCTTGATCAGGCCGCACGAAAAACGAATAAAATTGAATACAGACAGGAAACTAGAGATAAATAAACAACTTTGCTGTGCTCACTACATAACTCAGTACAAAGGGAATGGATTGCAAAAAATTAAAAAGACAAAAGCCGATTGTGTCATGTAAAAATCCCCCTTATAATGTACAACCAGGTTTTACCAGCCAAACCCAATTGATACGTAGGGCTTTAATAATAAAGTTGAAGTCGCTGCCTGTGTAATTTGTTCCCCTTTGTAGTCTGCTAGGTTATTATGAAATGACTGGGAATGAACCCACCTGACAATTGTATTTGGTTGGCTTCCCTGTCGAGGGAGGAAATTGCGTTTACTTTGTACCTACTATGTATGCATGTTCAATGTTGCAATTTAATCTACAGCGAATGTACGTTATTGATCTGTTATATTGGGTAAAGTGGTTGTCAATCAATACTTATCATGGCAATTATTGCGCCCATCGTCAGACACTTGAAGTAATCGATTCCAATAAGAGCAATTGCTTTCTTGTTTTATGTATTTTACCACCAGCTTTTGCCCGTGGCTTCGCTCGCGATAAATTAGGCGTAACACGGTTCCTCTTTCTTGATGTATAATACAGAAAAGAACTGAACATAATATTAACTCTTTGAGTACTGTCATTATAGACACAATTAAAGAACAATAGGTTGCGGTCACCGGTGTCCTCGCGGTGTTTAAAACTAACCTGATCTTTTAAGGAGAATATTTACAAAAAAACAGCATCTTCTTGCTAGTCACAAAAAGTCTGCATAACAATTTTTAGCTTTTGCCTTCAAAGTTACAGAATGCTCCATACAAATTTGAACACCCCATTTAAGGGAAGTGGGTGGTTCGAAAGAGACAACAAGTAGCCTATGTTACTCTCCATCCTTTTAAATTCACGTCAATTCTTTGAAAGATGGACAAACAGACACATAGACATTCCCATTTGTATTAGTATGGGTATGGCAATTGGCTCACCCTATTACTTGGGTCTAATAATAAGAGTGGCAGCCGTGGGTGTCGAGGTTACACGCGCCTTTTCTTGGGAAAAATACGGATGTAAACAAACACATATACTAAAAACGTATGTTCAGTGATCGTCATCACGTTTATAGGCAGTCTTATAGACAAAAATATTAACAAATATTATTGTCTCAGCGTGTCATCTACTCTGAAGTATCTATGGTTTATATTTTATAATATATTCAATTTCCTAAGAATGAACATCAAGATGTTTTGGCAACCATTCATAACTATTTTGAGCACATATCCACAGCAACAAATGTATGTTTAATCCTAAATCAAAAGCCTGCTCGGCTGCTCTTTTACTTTATTTTTTCATACCTTCCCTCGTCGTATCCGTCTGTGATGTACGGTAAAATTGACGGGTAGACAGCGTTCGTGCCGGCTAATATTTTTTCTTTTTAAGTCTCCTTCGATATGAACTGACGGTTTTCCACATGATGGCACGTTATTTCGCCTTTTATGTAGGTAGGTACTTACATTATATTCCTTGGAAATGGATCGAATTCTCTGTAACTCTGTTACTTTATTTTATACGAATTGTCTGTCTGGTAATTTTGTAGTCGTACTACTAAAGTAAATGTCGTGGTGGCCCGGAGGTTTAAGACGCCCACTTCTCATGCATGAGGGTGCGGGTTCGAAACCTACCAACGGCAAGTATCTATGTGACTTTATCCGAGTTATATATACTTTCTAAGATTATTTAGACACCATTGACAAACGGTGAAGGAAAACCATCGTTAGGAAACCTGGACTTATAATTTCTAGTTATAAGTTTGAAATCGCCAACCCGCATTGAGCAAGCGTGGTGATTAATGCTCAAACCTTTCTCCGTGTGAGAAGAGGCTTTGCTCAGCAGTGGGCATTTATAGGCTGTTGATGAATGGCTACTAAAGTAAATTACCTAAGTGCTTATTTTTGCAATAGACCGTTGTTCTTAAATTTATGCCTCATGCTCATTAACGATACCAAGACGAAGCCTTTCGTGAAACGGTCTGTCTTTTTTTAACTCATAGTAACGTAACCTGGTTAAGGTATGTTTCGATTTAGTAAATTAGTTTTAAGTGATGACCTTTATTTTGAATTCTTGTCAATGTCTCCAATCCATATACTTTCACACCGGTTAAAATTTATGATTTTGTCTAAAGATGATGATACATTTATTTTGAGACGTGATCGTTTAAATGTTGATTCTTTTTCCGTAAACTTTCGTCAACATATGTTTCTCAGAGATGTGGTAACTTTTTGACATTGCGAAGCCATTTGACGTTGTCTTGGCAACATTTTACAGGAAAAGTTTCTCTTCCGTAACATTTGTCGTAACAGTGCCTAGGTTGATTAGGAATTACACTGTTTAGTTAGGTATCTATGTATGGATTATGTTTTTAAGGTCAATACATATAAAAGTAACTTAACATTTAAAACGATAACCCGTACTATGACCTGATTCGTCATCTGACCTAGACAGGCACACACACACATGCAGATTATCATGTATTATAAATGACAATTCGATCGAACCGAGGACTGAAGGAGCCAATAATTCATGGAAATACACGTAACGGCTTAGTTTCTACTCGTGGAGTATAATCGAAACCGCTAGTCCACCTTATTATTCTTAACTTGCATACCATTATGAACCGTAGTACAATTTAATAAAGCATACATTCACTTGCACATTTCCATTGATTTTGACGAGTTTATTTCCATGATTTGTCTTGATTGGACTGGAAGCTAATCATATAATTAGTCACACCAAATTGTTTTTATCAATAGTACGTTAATCTATAAACTTAAGCTGAACTACATAAAGTTCATTTTTGCTATGTCGGTCGTGCCGATACCATGGATACGCGGACACAAAACAAAGAATAGTTACGTATTAACCAGTAAGAAGTATACAATGGTTGACTGTACAGTCGTTACCCTTCCGTTGCACACAATGGCAAGATGTTTGTGCGATACAGCAATCGGACCGAAAGATAAAATTGGCCAAAACTTAAATTGTTCATTATCGGAACCATACATTTTGTGGGAACTATAACAGTGATAACATTGATTTCTAAAACATGAAAGAGTGACGATTACTATTGGACGTCGTCATCAGGCCTTTTACGAACTGGTGAGCAGCCTTAGTTTAAATTTTAGACCGTACTCTGATTACAAAGTCAGCCATCAAAGTCATAGTCTTATTTTTATGTGTGTTGACTACACTTGATTAAGGTAGCTTTAAATACTCCTAAGATGATACGTAGATCGTTAAAATTAAGAGAAGTCGCGTTATAAGTCACCAGACGACTTAGCTCAAGTGTGATAGTAATTAGAGCGTCATAAACCTCGCATATTCTTTGAGAAGAAGGCAAAAGAGTATTATAAACTTAGGAGTAATGAAATGGAGCAACTACTGGTTTTTTTCCCCAATTTCCCCAATCCCCAAACACCCCCACAATCCTCAAATTCCCAATTCCCAAAAGGCTGATATCGCACTTGTAACGCCTCTGGTGTTTCAGGATCCGTCTGCTCGTTTATCGGCTTATCCCACAAAAAAGATACTCTATAAGTTAAAAAATATTTCAGTTACAACAAAATGGTATCATTTTAAACTGTCAAACACCAAGCGATCACCGGTGACCGCGACCTATTGTTCTTTAATTGTGTCTATAAAACCGGTACTCGACGAGTTAAATGTAAGTAAATTGCCGTTTATGCGGCATACGTTCCCAATGAATAAAATATGTATTTGTATCAAGAAATGAAAAAGAAAAATGTTAGTGGCTCTGTTTCTTTGCTTCCAAGAGACTCAAGTGTAGTTTATATTACTCATTGTAATGCTAGATTGTGTATCTTGATATTCGCCGTTCCTTATGACTGCTTTCATTTGGGTTAAGTATCGAATTTTTAAGTAAATGCCCTTGTATGCACTTACATGTACTTGGCGAGCTAATTGCACATAATGATAAAATGATATAGATAGAATAAATAATATTTAGCAATATTCAATCATACATGTTCTTTCTTAATTATGAATTTATGAAGCATGCAGAATACAAGTGTAAATAAACAAATTAGTATTTAGTTATAATCACTTATGTAAAATTTCCGGAATGGGAGAAGCTAGTATTGAAAATTGTGTTTAGAAATTGCGTCCAACCTGTTACCTCGGGTACACACAAGGAAATTACCAATTTCCGTACGTTCTATACTAGCGCAAACGAGATTTCATTAAAGGAGGGATGCAACCTTTGTGGACTTCCTTTAACAAATAACTTAATTCAGGTCGCCCAGTAAATACTGGAAGCCTTTACTGTAACTAGGTTGAGGAATCAGGTCATCTGATATGATTTCTGAAAGCGATTTTTGGGAATTATTTTCAACTAGCTTTTACCCGCGGCTTCGCTCGCGTCACAAAAGGATAAAAGTAGCCTATGTGACATACCAATACACACAGCGCCATCTATACCAATTCTTTTGTTTTTCCTCGGAAATATCAAAATTTTCCGGGATAAAAAGTACTCTATTATTTAATCCAGACTTCTAACTTTACGTCTACAAAAATTCAAAGCAATCGGTTTAGTAGTTACGGAGTGAAATCGGAACAAACAAACAAACAAACTCACTTTCCGATTTATAATATTAGTAAGGATTTTGTTTGGATTTTTCCAGGTAGGTAGTTTTTTCTTAACGACTCGTCTTTAATGACCATTTATTAGAGTCGAGCTAAAGAACTGCAGAGCACAGACCGAGCATAGTTTTCTCATCCACACCATGAAAGAAAAGATATAAAAGTGACAATAACCAAATATAAACGAAAAACGTTGATATTAATTCCATAAAAATGCTCATTAATTGTATGTATATTTCAATCTGTTTATGAAATGTCACCATTCGCCACATTGGATTTCGACGTGATTTCATTCTGATAGTGAACATATTGTCATGCTTTGAGAAGATTTGTAGAAATTGTCAAATTATTAAGTTTACTTAATCATGCAGGTACAAGACCCCAATGTTAAGTAAAGGTTATAACTCATTATTTTGGAAAATATTTTCACTTAGTATCTAATAAAATAAGTATTGTTTACTATCGAAGTGACGTCACAAGTAGAAACATCATGGTGCTACTTTTTCCGCGCGGAATTTAAACATCATAAATAAAAATTTTTTAAAAGTTCTATACAGCTTCAAGATTGATTTAAAGAAAAAGATTTCAAAAAGTGCGTAGTAGCCTATTAAAAGTTGTGGCAACCAAAACGGCGATTTAGAAAGAAATCTGTTATTAAAACTGAGTACTGTACTTTGAAACTAATGCATTATTGTCGCACAAACGGAGTATCACGATGCAAAAGGATTGCTCTGCTACAAAAGCTGGAGGTTCTGTGAAAATAATTCAGTGTCTTTATAACTGCGACCGGGAGCACTCGGATCGAACAGTGTTTGAGAACAAGTGCAATACAACCACGGTGTTTCAAAATCAGTGAGGTTATCCTTATGGTCAGCTGCAGTTAGCAGTTGACCGTTAATGATCTCCCCGCAGATTTTATTTTTACAGTTTTCGTGATTTTACTGTTTTGCATTTGTTGTCGATATAAAAATGGCCGAAAATATTGAAGTCAATAGTGTTGCAAACCTTTTGTTAGTGTATTCAATTCGGTGAATTGGTTAGGTGAGTTCAAAATAAAAGTCGATTGACAATTGGCTGCATTATTCAATTTTGAATCACTTATTACTTTGGACAGTGAAACAAACATACCAAATAACGAATATACCTACATTATATTTTATTTACTTGAAAATATACCATTCGTATCGTATAAAAAGAAATAAAAGCTTACAAAGTATAATCTGTCTATTCAATCATTACGAAGAATGTTTAACCACATTAAAACTATGGCAACACTCAATGAAAGGACTTATGTTGAACGTCATCAGCTGTGATCGAGTTTGTTTTGCGAATCGTTTTTTGTTAAATGGTAATAGATTAAAATTTAAGTGAATAAAACTTAAAGAAAGTCTATTAAACATGCAAAAGAACAATTCGGAGCTCAAGTGTATCACGAGTATAAAGTTATTTTCAATAGAATAAGAAACTACAAATTTGTTTTCGCTCGAACTGTAGCTATGACTGGTAGGAATCGTATTACTACTGTTTATATTTTATCTGCCATAAAATCAACAATTTTATGCCTAACTAAGGACATTTTACATTGTACATTTATTTAGTTTTGGATGGTACTTACGCTATAGGGGTTGCTATATGAACGACCTGTGGCGCCCTCATTGAATTTTATGATTAAATAGACAAACTGTAAAACTGGCAAAAATTTCAACAAAAACGTACGTACGTTTCATTAATAACTAAAAATTTTTAACAATTACTTTAAAAAAACATTTTAGTAGTATTTGAAATAGTAGCGACGCGCGCTACGGTAGAAAACGGGTTCACGGTTATGGCAACACCGAGTCGATAGTTGCCGACTTGCGTCTGGTTCATCTTTGTTACATTGACGTTCGTGCCTCGGTTGTGTTTTGGAAAGTGTGTATAACTATTCTAAAATGGTTCGAATTAAAGTTTTATACGGTTTTGTGGACGTCACGTGGCGTTAAACGATTCTCGTAATCACATTGTACTAAACGTGTGTGTAAGCAAGGTAATGACGGCAGGGCGGCTTCGTGCGGTGCATGTTGTCGCTATCTAGTATTATGATTGCACGTTATATACGACCTACGACTATGTCATACATTGTGAATAATGATGTTGCTGCAGTTACTCCTTTGACCTGTGCAGCGACAATCAATGGCGTCTGTTATCTTTTATCAATATTTCTTTGTTGTGCCTAAGGAGATGTATTAATTTGTCGTTACTGATTATTTTAGTAATAATAAATAATTTAAAAATGGTGTTCTTCTTGCTTTGTGCAGTGCTAGGTAGTTGTAAAAGTTGTTACTTATGTTTTTAATTGTACTAGTGATCATGTTTCTCTAATATTTTTCTTTAGCTGGACAATAATGTAAATTAGAATGTAACATGAGAGAAATATAAAAGCAAAACAATATTACTGTATTTAAACAGTATTAGTGATTACTCAAATGTTTTTACTTTTGAAATCAAGTAATACCTAATTCTGATTAGATAAAGGAAGTTAGCTGCGCACAAAGACAATTATGTATCTGGTTTTATTTGTTTAATGTACAAAATATTGTGTTCATAGATAAATTATGTATTTACTTTCTAACATTGATATCTGATTTACATGGCAACACATATAATTTCTCTGATGTTGCAGGGATACATGAACGGCACTAATTTTTACCATTAGGTTGTCTGCTCATTCGCTCGTTATTCCTTAAACAAAACTGTTGAGTTCTATGGGAATTAGTTGAGTTTGTCATGAAACAAGTAACCTGTAGCTAAGGTTTTTATAATGGAGGTCTATTTATAATCGTCATGAACACAATTTTGTGACTTCCTAATTTCCATAAATGCTAAAAATTTGATTTTACCTTTGCGCTATTGCTATCAATGTTGCTGCTGATTTGTGCTATTGATTGTTACGGCTGAGCGTGGAGAATCAAGTTCTTGAGTTGAACATAAGTGGCATTGCAGCCATTTTATGATAGGTGTGAATAATACATTTGCCCACATATTAACTAGGATTTAATACCTTTGTTGTATTGTAGTAGTTGTATTTATTTGATAACAAATAATAACATAGCTTTTCTCTTCTTTCACAGCTGGTTAGCATATATGGGCTGGAAGCAGAAAATCAACTCTTGAGGTGCTTGCTCACTGAAGCAGCCAAGAATTCTTGGGACACTGATCGTCCTTCGAATACTCCTAACAACAGCATCCACGCGTCTTTGCTCGCACAGCACCTCGCGTCCTTGCTCAATCATCCAGCCAAGTCGACGGTCATTTGTCGGGCTGTAGATCAACCCAACAAAACTCTACAGAAGGTAAGTGCCATTTACGAACCTTCTGTCTCTTAAATTCGTTCGGACGGTGCTTCTCATCTTAATAAATATTTGCTGTTTCACCTGTATCGTCTGTTTGTCCTGAACTCCAAACCATTGTACCATTACCTACTGATTTACTTAAATTATTGCACATTACTTCGATCCTAGTTATTCCCATTTAGTATGTTTTACACATATTGATTTAAACCATTGATTAGTTTCGCTGTAGGTACCTACTGCTTTATTAAATATACAAAATATATTTTATTGTTGGTATGAGATATTCTGTGAAAAATATTTTGTTAACTGCAGCTGGCCGGGAGGCCATGGGGATTATCATAAACACAAGGACATAACACACCATACAGATGTAGGTACTTTAAGTTTGTACTATGTCAATTTCATACTGTATTGATATAGTGTAGATAAGGTTTAAAATCATAAGTCTTGATCTATTGAATTGTAACTGACAAGTATTGGGCATTAAAAACAGTTCATTTTCCAGTGCTTTTGTCTACTAACTAATGAAATACTTGAATACCACTAAAGCACTGATTTCTTGCAGATATTAAAACCAACAAATACTTTACTCAATCGCCTGTCAAGATTGTTAAAGTTAACCACTGCCGAGGATGTTGCCCTTTCTCTGGTTCTGAGGAGGAACTCGTCGAAATCTGAAATTGTAAACTTATCCAAGCAACATCTTAAAAAGAGATTCTTAGATCTCGTTCAGTGTTACCTCGACGCAGGTCGGTATTTCGTGTACACGTTGTTCTAGACTAGACGTAGACATACATTATCGTACTTACAACGATGTTCATATTTTGTTGATATGTTTTGTGGCCTCCGCAACAGAACTGACATGCGGTGTTTCGGTTCACAGAGCGCGGACATCAAGTGGAGCGTGCCGGACTTCAGGAATGCAGCCCTGAAGTGTTGCAAACTCTTCTGACTAATCTCGCGCATGAAAACTTTCGGTTAGCCGCAGTGACAAAAGACTTGTTTTTGAAAAAGTTGCGAGTTGATTTCCCTCGCGAAGTAGTGCCCATAGTGCTCGCGCCGTTACTTTACCCTGACGACACACAGACTCCTCTCGAGGAAATGACTACAGCTGACGATATGGCCGCAGCCATGATGGATAACTCACTAGCTGAGATCATCAGAGATATCGGCTACTCTTTCACCTCATCGGTTGAAGAATGCAAGAACAACATGCTGAACTTTGGGGCTCGGGAGCCCACAGCTACAGATGTCGCCAAAATCATATCGACGATGGTCAGATACCACACAACTGTCCAAGACGGACCCCCTATACAGACACCTGGGAACTTCTGGGTCGGACACGACGTCAAGAAAGAACCCTTACCACAAGGACATGGAGAATCATGGAATGCAGAAGTTTTAGTGCAAACACTAAAAGATCTCGCATCTAACCTAAACTGGAAAGAGGTCATCCTACAACTCGACCACCCCGAATTTTTCGTACCTGATAGACAAGGACTCAGCTTGCTTTTCACGATTCTGCGACTCGGCCTTCAAAGTGCAGGCTATCCAGCGAACATATTCCCAGTTGAATATTTGTGTCGACGTTGGACGAATTTGGAGGGTCAGATGAGTCTCATTACTAATATACTAAAGTACCCCGATATATTCAGTTTCGCTGATCATCCATTTCACCCGGTATCGATTGACTTACTGAAATCGCCTCCGGAAGCAGACAATAAAGACGTCGCAACATGGCGCTGTCTCTACCTGGTCGAGCTATTGTTGTATGCTTCGGAGCGAGGTTATTACATACAAGTACAGGAACTGTTCAAGATTCCTCTGCAATACTGTCCTGATGTTTTGATGCTGGCCTTACTACAGATTAGCCCACCTGTCAATGTTGTTAGGCAAGAGCTATTTTCAACATTGATACCAATCTTTTTGGGCAACCATCCTAATTCTGGAATCATCTTGCACCACGCTTGGCATAATCAGAATCCTAATATTAAGGCCGTTATCATGCATTCAATGGCGGAATGGTATATTCGTGGAGATTGTGATCAATCAAAACTTTCAAGGATCTTAGATGTTGCACAGGATTTGAAAGCACTATCATTATTGTTAAACGTTCAATCTTTCCCGTTCGTGATCGATTTAGCCTGTCTGGCATCTCGACGGGAATACCTGAAACTGGATAAGTGGTTAACAGATAAAATCAGGGACCATGGAGAAGCGTTTGTCTCCTCAATGGTAAAATTCTTACAAAGAAGATGTCCACTGGTACTTGGCAAGGGACCAGAAGAACAACTACCGAAAGCGGCTCAACTACCCCATGAGACAATCACCACGATGTTGGCGTGCTTACAACTATGCATTCCTAACGTACAACAAGAGCTACAGGAGGCGATCTGCAATGTGATTGCTAACTGTCAAACTCTCATACTAAGTAAGACTCGCCAGACCATAGCCGGTATCGCAAGGCCACACACCAGGGTGTTGGAGACTCCCTTCAACCCAGCGGGATTAGGCGGACAGCTTTTCCCGCCTCATGTTGATTCCATCACTAATTTGACTCCTAATGTTGCTAATATGACTCTAGGGGCTCCTGCGAATACTGCGTTTGCCATGACTGGTACATTGGGACCGTTAGTTACTACACCTGGGTCTCCGTCACGTCTAATGGGCGCTGGGCCAAATAGTCCTTTTGCAATGATGCCATTACAACATAACGCTAATGTCGCCAACATGGGCCTGGCTAGAATGGCTCCCGCTCCGGCAATGGATAAGCCACGTATTCCAGATCCCATTCACTTCCCCGAAATGATGCACAATGTTGCTAAAGAAATTGAGGATGAAGCAAATGGTTATTTCCAAAGGATTTATAACCACCCTCCACATCCAACTCTGTCGATAGACGAAGTGTTGGATATGCTGAAGAAGTTTCAAGATTCGCCGAACAAACGAGAGCGTGAAGTGTTCTCCTGTATGCTACGGAACCTCTTTGAAGAATACAAGTTCTTCCCTCAGTACCCAGATAAAGAACTTCACATTACTGCTCAGCTCTTCGGAGGCATCATCGAAAAAGGACTTGTACCTAGTTATGTTTCGCTCGGTCTAGCTTTGAGATTCGTGCTCGACGCGTTGAGAAAAACGGAGGGTTCTAAAATGTATTACTTTGGTATAGCAGCTTTGGACAGATTTAAGTCACGTCTGAAGGATTATCACAAATACTGCGAACATGTCAGGGCTATTCCTCATTTTAGTGAATTCCCTCCGCATCTAATCGAATATGTGGAATATGGACTGCAGAGTCAAGAACCGCCTTCGAAGCCTCAGGGAGCTGTATTACCCACAAGCCTCGCTGCGATGCTGAATCAACCTCCAGTTGTAACTGCAACTGCTCCTTACAGGTATGTCTAACTCGGACACGTGTTTGCAAATACAATTTGTGAATTAAGACAATAAATTATTTATCGTAATAAATTGTAAACATTGTTTGTGTCATCTTTACAGAGTTACTCCAGCGATTTCGGTGATATCTAAAGTCGCCAACTGCACGACCGGCGGCATGGGAAGCCGGCCCTCGATCGCGAACGCCACGAACATCGACACGCTGCTCACGGCTACCGACAGGGAGGAGAAGATAAACGCTCCTCCTGAACCCATACAAGACAAAACTGCTTTTATTTTCAACAATTTGAGTCAGCTTAATTTGCAAACAAAATGCGAGGAACTCAAGGAAATAATCACAGATGAATATTATCCTTGGCTGTCTCAATATTTAGTTATGAAGAGAGCGTCTATCGAGCTCAATTTCCATGCTTTATATTCCAATTTCCTTGACGTTCTCAAAATTCGAGATGTCAATAAGATGGTCACAAAGGAGACTTATCGTAATATCAAAGTATTATTGCGCTCAGATAAAGGCATAGCAAACTTTTCTGATCGTTCACTACTGAAGAATCTCGGTCACTGGCTTGGCATGCTAACATTAGCGCGTAACCAGCCTATTCTTCATGTGGATATTGACCTCAAAGCCTTGGTGCTTGAAGCTTACCACAAAGGTCAACAAGAACTTCTTTACGTGGTACCATTTGTCGCCAAAGTTTTAGAATCATGTGCTAAAAGCATCGTTTTCAAGCCACCGAACCCCTGGACGATGGCATTGATGAATGTTCTTGCTGAACTACATCAAGAACCGGATCTAAAACTGAATTTGAAGTTCGAAATAGAAGTGCTATGCAAGAATCTGGGCTTGGACATAGCTAATCTGAAACCGGCCATTTACTTGAAAGATCCTGAAAAAGTCAGACAGATTGAGTTCCAACTGTCTCAACCTAAACCGAGTAAGGAAGCGGCGGCAGTGGTACCAGTAAACCCTGCCCTCGTGCAAGCTCCACCAATGCAGATGATGCCTCCGCAACCTCCGATGATACCGACAGATGACATGACTGTCACCGCACCGACGCCAACGAGCGGCCTGATGGGCGACCCCAACCTCATGGGGGTCATCGGTCTTCCTGAACCCAGATTCAATTATTTGGACGTGAACGTCTCCTCCACATCTGCATTTGGTCAAAAGATTAGCTTCAACCCACATATTCTCCTATTCCAAAACTATCCACACCTAAAACAGTTTGTCAAGCCCGCGATCGAGAGGTCGATTCAGGAATGGATCCACCCTGTGGTGGATAGGTCAATCAAGTATGCTTTGACTACGTGTGAGCAAATAATAAGAAAAGACTTCTCATTGGACCCTGACGAAGTAAGAATGCGCACCTGCGCGCATCACATGATGCGTAACCTGACTGCTGGCATGGCGATGATCACGTGTCGCGAGCAGATCATTAGCACCATCAGCACCAATCTGAAGGGTGCTTTCGCTACCTCACTGATGCCTTCCACACCCCAACAGGTTAGTATTTCATAAACAAAGCGAAACAATAGTCTACTAATCCATCTTGGATAGAGAGCTTGTGTCTGATTCAGTTCTGGCCTCGAGCTCTTTATACAAAATGTTACTACATGTGTATGAAGTACTATATCGGGTGCAGATAAGCCTCCGCGTGACTTGTTCATAATGTTAATCCAATCCAATTCAATTCTAACAGTGTGAACAGAGTAAGTTAATGGGGTGGTTTAATGCATAGAAAAGTGATTGGCTTATTTTGCAAAATTGTATTTTCACGGGTTATTGTAGGTAGGCTGCTTTTATTAGGTCAGGTGGGATAAGATTTTTGCAGGTCAGTAGAGCGCGTTAGCTGCTCAAAATTCTCATCATCATGAAGACTTGTCCAGGATGGTACTGTAAGAAGAATATAAAATTATTTCTCTTTTATCAATGTTAGGTTACTGATTTTGATTGCAGTATTTAATGACTATTGCTTAATGTTAAAGTTTATTTTATAGATTGTAAAATCATATCTTTATGTTTTTTTCATGCTCGTTTATCGTAATAAGAATGATCGATGTAGTTTTCTTGTCTATAGACTTATTGAGAATGATAGGCTGTTTTTTATTTATTTTTCTATATGGTGGAAACCAAAAAATATTTTACTATCATATTAATAGTTTCTGGTATTTCAGAAGGAGGTAATAGAAAGCGCAGCTGCTGTTCTAGCTACAGAAAACATGGAGTTGGCGTGTGCATTCATCCAGAAGACTGCTGTTGAGAAGGCGCTGCCTGAGCTGGACAAGCGCCTGCTCAACGACTACGAGATGCGTAAGCTGGCGCGACAGGAAGGCCGACGGTACTTCGATCCCATGGTCCTCTCGTACCAGACCGAGCGCTTGCACGAGCGTGTCCGCCTCCGCGTCGGAGGGCCCACGGAAGTCCAGATTACTGTATATGAAGAGTTCGCATGCAATATCCCTGGCTTCACGCCCGTACGCGACGTAGGCTTGTTCATTCCCAAGCCGTCCGCTCAGGAGCAAATGTCCCAACTGTCGTTCAGCCAGGTCATCAACCCGACCCAGGTGTACGGAACGGACGAGATGGGAGCTTTGATTACCGCCGCCGAAGTTTTCCTAGCGAACTGCATCGGTGTCGCCTCCCTCGCGGTACAAGCCGCCAATATGCATTCCCTACTTGAATGCCTCTGCATCGCAAGAAGAAACCGTGACTTTGTATCTGGATGCGCTTTACTGCAAAAGGTAACATAAGTTATGATATCAAAAAAAATGTGCAATGAAGTGTCAGCAATTATTGCATTACTTTTTATGCAATAGTTCATTGATGCATATTTGTTGCATATTTTTTATTACTTACTTTTCCTCTTTTAAGTTTCCACTATCCTAAATTTTAGTTTGTTCATTATTTTTGTTATATTTTTTTATTTGGGCCTTCTCAATTGTCTCTTTTCAACATCTGTCAATTAAGTTCGCAGTCCTTGCAGATTCTATTAACATCGCTTGAGAGAGGACAATGATGGTAAATTACTAGATGTTGTGTTGACAACACCGTGATATGTAGCAGAAGTTGTAACAGTGCTCTGTGTCATAGGCGGTGGAGGGATTACTGGACGGACACATCGTGCAGCCGGGCGCGAACAGCGAACACGTGGAGATGATGGCTCGCTACCGGGATATCCACCTGCGCGTGCTCAAGCTATTGGAGGATGCGCGAGTCTATGGCCACGTATGGACTACCAAGCAGATCACTTGCTGCCTCACTGAGTGCCGAGAGGAACTGCGATACAATATCGAAGCTGTCGACTGCCTTATCAGGAACCACCTGATCAACTTACCCCAGGTAAATCTGAAATGACATACTTCAGCAACAATTGTTCGAATGTTAGTTGTTTGTGTAAGAGTACTATTAACATTGCCTTTTCTGTGCTCAGTATGACCTTGCCCTCGCGCACATGATGGACAGCGGCAACAACTACATGGCTGTTGCCTTCGCAATGCAGCTGGTTCAGCTTTACCTGGTAGATGATAGGAACAACATCTACGTAAATGAGTCGGACCTCTACCATACCACAGAGACACTTGTCAGGGTCATGTCTCACTCCAGACAGCCCCCACCTGAAGGTCTTGGCTCCTTGATCGAAATGCTCCGTGTCAACCAAGATCCTAGCGCTTACCTTGGAGAGAGGTCGCCATTGGGTCCCACTGCCCACATTCACTCTGGAATATTGCAAGTCCGGGTAAGCAACATATGCGATTGTACAATATATAAATACGTTTTATTTTTGTGAAAATATAATTTCATACAACATGTAATATGTTCCATACAGTCCCAGAATTACGATGACCCACCTGGCTTACAAGAAAAGACGGAGAACCTTCTTCGCGAGTGGAGAAATGTGCTTCTAAGCCCTCTGACCGAGATTGAACTTGCACAGAACTTCAATCTTTACGTTCATCGCATGAACATGAATGGAATCCTGAAATCGGACGACATGATCACGCGATTCTTTAGGATTGCGACCCAAATGTGTGTTGAGAATGTGTACCAGCAGTTGAACGAAGATAGAATGAACACACCTCCAATGCCCCCGAAGAGGGACAAATACTACGCCATGTGTGACTCGTTCATCAAGCTGGTATCGCTTCTGATCAAGAACACCGCTGACGGCGGTAACCCAACTCCGAAACTGAACTTGTTGAACAAGGTAAGTTTAAAACTTATAAATGAGTAACTTCAAATTTATAACGACCAGTAGAGGCACACATAAAATGGATATTTTATTTCTTGTTCTCAGATCCTCGGGATCATTGCTGGATGCCTGCTTCAAGACCATGAAGAGCACAGCACTAACTTCCAACAGCTGCCATACCACCGACTGCTACTCATCCTGTTCCTCGATATGAACATGGCTGAACCTGTCCTGGAATCTATGAATTACCAGGTAAACCCACTAATGTTTAGATATTTGTTAAAAGCAATATAATACATACATTCATTCTGCTGACATTTTATAGATCTCTTTCAGTAAATAGGTCTAAGAAGTTTAAGTGTTTATAGAATGTGCTGTTTAGTAGCCAGAATATTTTTAATAATAATAGTTTATTGCCGGTATTATAATATAGTCTTGTGACTGTAGGTTCTCACTGCATTCTGCCATACGCTGCGCATCATCCGCCCGAGCGTGGCACCAGGATTTGCGTACGCGTGGCTGGAGGTCGTCGCGCACCGTGCTTTCATCAACCGCGTACTAGCCGTAACACCACAACAAAAAGTAAGTGCCTTATTCACTAGAAAAACCATAGACGATGCTAGGGCCTGTAGAAATTATTCTTAGAGTCCTTTATTATAGTCAAGATGGCGTCCCAAGTATTTCATTATATAAGTAATTAAAATATGAAAGGTATTTACTTCTTTGACTGTGTCCATAACCTCCATTAATCATTCATGTAATTCATATTATTCCATTCTATAATATTACATCAGTGTTTTCATTTTAATTGTCAATAAACCACCATAATCGATCCCATGACCAAAATATCATCTGTCAGACCTTCAAATTCAGATTCTTTTCCTTTTATCTAATTGCCTGACCTCAATTGTACAGAGAGTCTCGAGCCATATTATTGTAGCCTCCCCAAAATTCATGTTACAAAAACGTAATAATATGAAGTACAAATAAATATTCTACTTATTGCTTCATTGATTCTAGATAATTTTAGAAATAACATATTAAGAGCTTTCTCTGTGCTCAGCTTGTTTTAACAGAACATAAACTAAACTAATGGTTATTTTTAAATTTTATGTTAAATGAAATAATTACTTTTGAAAAGAATATAATGCATAAACCATAAATATAACGACACAGTTCAATGACAAATGAGAAACCAACTAAGTGTATGGATTATTTTTAATTGATTTTTTATTCCTTCGTTTAGCTTGCTTCAGGAGGCCAGGCAGTTAAAATCATTTACATTTTTACTTTTGTGTGTTCACTCTCGAGGCTCAATTTTTAGAGATGGTTCAAAATAACATACAACACTATACATTAATTTCCTTCACACATAAATCCACACTTCGAAATACATAGCAACATTTAATTTCATTACAAATTCATAGCCATGAGAGTTGGAAACCCATCTTTAAAAATTGTTGTCATCTTTTCACGCAGTAGTTAGAATCGCTCTATTTCCGGGAACGAAAACCGCGTTAAACCTACTTTTAAAGCTTGCTATATAGTTTTGTAGACAGACAGCTTATGTATTAGTTTTGCTTGTTAATATCAACAAAGTAATCAAAATTTTTTTGGCAATCTGAATTCTTAAATCATATTTTATCATCAACAATAATGAATCATGTTTCCATTATCATATCATTGTTGTCATAATGAGACATTGGATAGATGTTTATTACTCTTTGACGCAAAAACTACTGAAAATTAAACTCATAAATATAATTGAATTATTGAATACCTTTTTGAACAAATATTTATATTGATACCATGAGAATGTAAGTTAGTAGATAAGAGAATAAAGAGGTTTAAATGAAACCACAATTATTGCTAAATCTTAGATGATTTGTTTGGTAGAAAGAGTGCATGTCTGGTGCATGCAGTTTGTGTTGATGCACAGCACTGCAGTCAGCCTGCTGTAGCAAGGATAATACAAATGCTTGTCACGTTCCGCAGGGCTGGGGAATGTACTCGACGCTCCTGATCGACTTGTTCAAGTTTCTAGACCCGTTCCTACGCAACACGGAGTTAGCCACTCCCGTCATGATGCTGTACAAGGGCACGCTCAAAGTGCTACTTGTCCTTCTTCATGACTTCCCTGAATTCCTATGCGATTACCACTATGGCTTCTGTGACGAAATCCCTCCAAACTGCATCCAAATGAGGAATCTCATCCTGTCCGCGTTCCCCCGCAACATGCGGCTCCCTGACCCCTTCACACCCAACTTGAAGGTAGACTTGCTAGCAGAGATTACGCTGCCTCCCCGCGCCGTTATCAACTACGCGACCATCATCCCTGCGTCTCAATTCAAGAAGGATTTGGACGCCTACCTGAAGGCGCGCGCTCCCGTCACATTCTTGTCAGAGCTGAGAGGCAACATGCAGGTACAGTTAGTTTGTGAATTATGTTCAGCATACTCTGAAATGTTGCATACAGTGAGTACTAATTTGTTGACTTTGGCAGGTGTTGAACGAGCCCGGCCGTCGGTATAACTGCCAGCTGATGAACGCCGTGGTGCTGTACGTGGGTACGCAAGCCATCGCACACATCAGAGCCAAGGGCCAGACTCCCAACATGTCCACCATTGCACACTCTGCGCACATGGACATCTTCCAGAACTTCACCGTCGATTTCGACTACGAAGGGCGGTAAGATTGAGTAATTTTTTTTCTGGGTGATGGTGAAAGTACTAACTTGCAGTTTTATTGTATCCTATGTCGACACTTCTGTCATTGACTTGTACTAACTGCATGTCGAAATATCAGTATAGGATAGCTTAGATGGTGGCTGATAGGCCACGAGACATTAGTTGGGACCAGAGCACACAAGGGCTGGCGGTGACTACATCGAGCATCTCGACAACTATATTACACCAGAGGAGGCAGCAGCAGGAGTGCTTGGAGCGCTAACTGTCGGCAGCATCAGCAAGGGACTACGAGACGTGAAAATTAATAATTAATTTTAGACAACTTCTCGCGAGTTCACGACCAAACTAAACAAGTACATGATAATTTTAAACAGAGTTTGTTGTAGATAAGTTAGATAATATAATAAAATGCATGCTGGTTTATGTATGTGCGAGGGCAAGGACGACTCCACCCATACTCCGAAGTACAGTTGTCGTGTGTGTGTGTTCCCAGGTACCTGTTCCTGAACGCTATCGCGAACCAGCTCCGCTACCCGAACAGCCACACGCACTACTTCTCGTGCTGCCTGCTGTACCTGTTCGCGGAGGCCAACTCCGAGGCCGTGCAGGAGCAGATCACCAGGATGTTGCTCGAGCGACTGATAGTGAACCGGCCACACCCATGGGGCCTGCTCATCACCTTCATTGAGCTCATCAAAAACCCGATTTACAAATTTTGGTCTCATGAGTTTGTGCATTGCGCACCCGAGATTGAGAAGTAAGTAGATATTCTATACTCTCGCTGTAATTAACTGTCGCTAACTCAATCATTAACATACTAACCGATCACTCAGTAGTGTTGTACATTAAACTGATAGAATAGCATTCACCCTAGCGTGAGGTGTGCGGGAAGTGCGTTGTTGTTGTTGCCCGCTATTGTAACTATCCTACCTCGGCCTTCTAGTGCGCTCGACTCTACTTAATGCAACCGTTCACCCGCACATTATCACTTCATCGCTTCAACCCTTTATTAACAAACAGCCAGTCGCCATCATAGTCTAGTGTAGAAACTAGACGTTACAAATTTCATACCCAAACATACATCCGTTTTAATAGACAGTATGTTTTAAATTCAGTCATTTAGTCAGTTACGATACATCATGGACATAAAAGGGGTGAAATAGTTATTTCTATCAGAATGAGGCTGGATGCACTGAAGGAGAAACATTCTGAGCGCATGACAAAGGTTTCCTCTTGAGTTAAATCAGCACATGAATATATGAATATATTGCTGCATGCTTGAAAAAGCAGTCCGCTTTCCTTATCTCTTGTTATATTGCGATATGATGTTGCGCTGATTTAAACGTCTCCTGTCCACACTGGACCAACCGCGCGGCGCGCTATGCTCGCTTGTTGTCATCGGAATATTACCAACTCATCCTTTTGTTCACACGCTTCGATCGTATCGGAATGTGTCAACAAGTTATCCTATAATATTAATCACAGAGGACGTGTATCAATACCTGAATCATTCCTGTAAAATTATAGCAATAGTGAATGTGAATATACTCTACAAAGTATTCCTATTGAATCAACTGGTTGTTTAGCTAGGAGACGTGTAAATCAGCATTTAGATAAGACAGATAGCATAATAATGAAGTGCAGTTGTGGATAATCTTGTTTTTCTTTTTTTTTATTAATAGTGCTATCCGACTTCACCTGGAGCGGTAATTAGCCCCCTTTTATAAATACTCGACGTGTACTGATCGATGCCATACATCTTAATTGTATAATTTTTTACCTTTTATTTTAGTTCCTATTTTTGACAATTTGGCTGTGAAAAAATTGTTTGTGTAACAATCTCTTACGGCAACCATCCTTGCAGTTAGAGGTTGAGTCATGTAAAATTCTGTATGACCCAAGACCAGTACTCGTCGTAGCACTTATTAATACCTAATAATATTTGAAGGATCTCCCGCAATCACAGTGTGGTCAAGCGTCTTATATATTTATGAGTTCTACTTAGTTTTCCGTCCAGTGACCAGTGAAGTCGCATGGTCGCTAGACTGTGTTGTACGTACAGCCGGACGCTAGCACGCACGCGTACGCATATATCGCTGACCGCTTTTTGGTTGCGCGTGCTCCTTTATGGGGTGAGATTCCAAGAGGTTTTAATATTATTTCATTGTACATTTTCACATTTGCTTTCCTTGCCTGTGTGGAGTTTCACCTTGAGCTGATGTCAGAGCGATACGGTTACATGTATGCGGTCAGAAAGTAGCGCGAGTGCGGTAGTGGATGGCGTACATAATATCGTATCAGACTGTCACAGTTGTGACCCGCGATGAGCGATATTTCGCACTACTGTGGTAGTAATGTAATCCATGCGCTCGTACTTGCGCCGCTTGCTGGCCGCGTTCATGTAATTTTCGCTCTGGAATCAGCAGAAGGCCGAGACTGACGGCGCTGCCGAATCGGCTGCGATGTCCATACATTCGCTTGTTGAAGTCATCATTCCTGCTCATAATGTGTGGGTACCGTAGCCTAACCGAGCGTTGTCAACTCTCGGTCTCAGTGCTAGCTAGGAATGGTGATGGCCAATAACATCTCATTAATCCGATCCCCTTCATGACATTGTAAATAAATTTGTTGAAGCTGAGGCCATCCTGACGCCTATCTAGTAGTATACTAGTCACGCAGCTATGCGCGTATGAAGACTAATTCAATCGATCGATCTTTTGCGACAGAGTGAACACTCGATGATAAATTGGAATATGCATCTCACCTACACGATTTCCTTGGTTACAAGCATCTAACTTTACTAACAATCTGTGTCAGTTGTCTGTGTCCCTAAAATAACATTTAAAATTTGTTATGTGTGCTGCTCAAGGTTCCAATATTCACCATGCCATCACAAAGGAGTGAAAAACTTATTGTTCGATTTTTTTGTTGTTTCTGAGCTAAATCCGTTTAGAGCTTTAGTATAAAAACTCAGTAAGAACTAATTATTCATTAGCTCTAAATAAACAGTATATTGCGAAATAATTTTTCAAAAATTGTGTAATGTGTCGACACTCCTTCGTGTCATAAGTTCGGAACACTCGGTAACTAACTCGGCTGATTCTGTTAGCGTTCATGCGCACATGTACTTATATCGAACACATGGTTTAGCTTACTTATCGTTATCGGCCGACTGAGCTAGCTTTCATGCGCGCCTAGCTTTAGTTTGTAAGTTCTCATTTTCGTGCCCAGTATAATTTGCGCGTTGAAAATATCCAATTTAATAGTAAATTAAAATTTATTTTATAATATGTACTCTTTCACTTTTTATTAGTGTTAATTTTTGCAATGAAATTACTTTCCAAGTTTGGATACGTGCAAATTATTCTTTTACATAGGAGTAGGAGTTTCAGGAATTTGATAAACCAGTAAACTGACGTTGATATACAGTTATATGAAATTACGCACACATGTACACTGTGTAAATGACAGTTGTGTCGATGTGTAGCGCTGCAACTAATTAGCGGTGCTTTGTGTACGTATGTTTCTAGGTGGATGCCGTTCTTCTCTTCCCGACACAAAGTAATAATACAAAAACCTTAATCGTCCAATATAACATATTTTTTCATTTTTGTGCTATTATTTTGTACCGGGAAGAGATGAATGGCTTCCCCAAGTGTTAATTAGTGCAGCTAAGGAAAAATTAAGGTAACAACAAAACTTTCAGAACAAGGCTTTAATTCATTCGTAAACAATTGGATTCTTAAATAAAGCCTTTCTATCAAACGAAAAGTATTAATTGGGCAAAACTTTCTAGACGACGCCTCTCTTGTGCAACGTCGATTCGGCTTTAATATGAACATTTAGATTAGATATAAAAATTTTGAATCTGAATTAATTTTTATTGGTTTCTTAGTTAACATTATTGGCAATAATATCGTTGCGTATAAGTGGCGTCCTCTAGCGTTAGGTTGATACGTAGAAGCATGCTTTGGTGTTGCGAAACATCACTTCTGTGGGATGCTAACATATTTTTTTGGCCAGGCTCTTTGCGTCTGTGGCGCGATCCTGCATTGCAGACAAGACGGGTGCGGGAGGGGGGGAAAGGGAGATAGCCGAGTAGCGTCGCGCCAATTGGGAGTCTCTCCGGCATAAGCACATGTATAAAAGCTATGCCGAGAAAGGTAAGCATTAGAAATACTTTGATGAAATTTACCTAATTTCCTATGTCCTCTAGTTGGGACTAGGGAAAATAGAAGTCCTCCATCTCTTTTGGATAAAATATAAAGGAGAATGTTCACGTAACTATGGAATTTCGTCTTACGTTGTTGCACAATAAATCTTTATTTATTATAGACCATCCTTATTATATTATCGAATAAAAGCGTTCATTTTCCCATAAATATCCGGGTTTTTAAGTAATTAGACAAAAACGAAAATAACCTAAAATTATGTTTAAACTGTCAAACACCGTGCGGTCACCGGTGACCGCAACCTATTGTTGTTTAATTGTGTCTATATACATAAAAACGTCTTGTCGTATGCTACATGGAACTCACGCTTATTTATTCAAAAGTTCAAAACAAACACTCAAACAGTGAAACAGAAACAGTTTTCCTTACAATCCAAATGCCGCCACTCTGTCTGTCACATGTTATGACAGTTGCTTCTGCGTGAGACGGAACACAAAAATAATTATAATTGTAACAATACTACAAAATACTAAATAAATACATTGTAAAATGTATTGATATTACAAATTATTTAGCTATTTATTGAAGTTGATATAATTTTTGTGATGATTTTGCCGAAAGGTTCTACTTACGTGATTCGTAAACACGAAGTTTTATTCGTAAGATAGCACGGAACGTCAATGTCCTTGAAACGGAAATTCCATAGCAATTTTTATGTTACTATTAATCTTATCATCATAATTCCGGATACGAATATATAATTCCTGAAGTGAAAAGGTTGTAAAAAATAAGAAAATTATTTCTATATTATTTTGATTTTTCAACTTGAAACTTTGCTAGACTGCTTTTGGTCAATCTCCTTTCGCTGTCAAACGAAAAATGTAACATCGACTTGTGTGTGGCTCCAGGCTTCCAAGGCGAGGCAGGACCTAGCCAGCCGCCGCAGCCACAGCCGTCCACTTCTGGCCAGCCCCCCAAACCAGCGTTGCAGTGGAACAAACTCTTCCAAAAGAAGTAAATCAGTGACGAACAATTTATTGTACATATTATATTTATATTGTAGTTGTGAACTCTTGTACATATGAATTGATGATTGTCATCACTCGATCAGTCTGGTTATTGTCTTAAACAATAGCGGTTTTTACTATATTATATTATTGTATTTAGATTTTGCATACCTGATTTTTTAAAATATCACTTCTAGTCGCAGTTTGAAACATATACAGTCTGTAAACTAATTACCAGCTATTTAACCAAGTTGTAAGACGATGTGTATTTGAAGTATTCGAAAAAGACTTTTTCTGTGAAATTGTATAATTCATGTACTTTTAAGATTTTAGATATGGATGTAAATTAATGTGATGTCGATATGATTATGTAAGTTCAATGTACATATGAATGAGGTTTAACAGGACACTGGCTTGTCCTATTGACTTATGACATTGACTCGATTGCTCCTGATATGCGTGTACTGATTTCGCCGTAGATCGGACGTCAGATGCTTTGACAAATACATTTTACACGATTTTACAAAATTTATACCAGGCTGTTGCCTTGTGTCAAAAATACAGTAGTATGATATTGTATGGACTGAGTGCCAAGCACGAATAACTATCGCATTCGTAACGTAATAGTATCGAGCGCGTTCGGCGCTCTGATTGGCCGGCTCAAATGAACCAACCAATCAGAACGCTTAACTGGCCGATACTGTTACGATACGAATGCGAAAATTATTCGTGCTTCGCCCTCTGATTGCTGACAATGCCAGTGGTGAGGAACACTAGTTTGGTGGCCGAATTAAAGTAATTGGTTGTGTGTAGTGCGTGGACGTAGGCGCGTGCGCGTGCGCATGCTCGCTGGGACGAGCATTTTATACTGTGCTACAAGTGTGTGAGGTCAATACGGACGATATCTCTTGCTGTTCGCTTGCGTGTATTGCACGGCGCACTGAACGATTATAATGTGTGTACTGGACATTTTAACTTTTTAAATATTTCTTCTTTATAGTATCAGAACAATAAATAATCTTTGTAGATTGCATAAATTTAGCAATTAAAAATTGTGTAAATTTAGCAATAAAAATAAATTAATGAAAACTCGAAGTAATATTAGTAGTGATGTTTTTCATGCATATTTCATATAGTTAGGCGGTTCTAAGTGGATAGATGATGGTGGACGTTTCATATAGTTGTGTATGTAGTGACCACTTGGCGTGCAACGGGTGGCTTAGGTACGTAGGTAAGATTTACGCGACGATATCACTCGTGTGCGGTGTCCCGCGTGGCTGGTCTCGCGACGGATGAGCTGCATTTTTATTCCGTCGACCGATCGGACGCGCAGCACACCCAACTCACTTATTTTAAGGCAAATTACACTAAGTGTCACAGAGCTAGCTCGTCGAATTAAGTAAATCGACTGATTAAAAGTAACCGCTAAATCGATCGTTAGTCTTAATGAAAACATGTATTTTTAATTCGACGTATCTTGTAGATTTTATTATAATACCGGCGCGCCGCTATGCTACGGTTGGTTTAATTTAAAAACATTTTAGTGGTAATTTTTAATATTTAAATAAGTTTTGATGAGCGTAAGTTCATGTTGTAAAGTTTTTTAGGTGTGGCTTGAACTTAATATAGTGATGTACAGTCCGGCGGGGGAGGCGCGGTATGCTCACCGTGATCTCTGCCTCTCTGCCGGGCTAAACATTTTAGGTTTAATGCTAAAAATAAAAGTTAAATTTGCATAAACATAAGACGAGTCATGTAATCACTTTTTCTAAATAATGTGTTTAACAAAAGTATTTTTCCATCAACTTGTTTTTATTTACTACCGCCCTATAATCCCTGTTATTGTAACGAGATTCATTTGATGACTAGTAAAGCTAGACTTGGTTGTTAACACTGCAACAAGACTCAGAACAAGGCAGCATTGGCCATTTGGATACATTTCTGAAATATATCATTATAGAGCATATTTTGTAATCTTTTATTACCTACCTGGAACAATATCCTTACTTTATTTTTTTTTATCAATTCTTTTGAAGTCATTGTATGTGTGAACTGTGGGATCAAACGATGGTCACTTGGTTCTCGCACCCGATCAAGTAGATCTCAAAGGTTTGGTGAATACACATATTTATATAGTTGTAGTATGGAAGAATTGTCAAATATTCAAAGTTATTCATAACATAACATCACGCCTTTCATCCCCGAAGGGGTAGGCAGAGGTGCACATTATGCCACTACAATGATATTCCTCAGTTAAAATTTATCTAGCGTTGGAAAAACGGCCGTTAGTAGGGACCTATTTATTTATTCATTTAATGTTATTGTTAAAAATGAGTGCAATTTGTCGCTCTCTCTGCACTAACTGTTAGACATTTTGATTTTTTATGGCATAAGCCGGTAAACGCGCCGGCGGGTCACCTGATGGTAAGCAATCAGCATCACCCATGGAATTTGAGACGCCTGAGACGTAATAAGTGCGTTACCTACCGGCTCTGTAAGTATTTTAGGAATAAAATTATTGGGGATTCGGGGATTGTATATGATAACATGGTTGAATATCATTGGCACTCAAAGTATACAGGTGCCTAAGAAATACGTGGTGAAATGGTAATACTGAAAAAATCTAGGATTATTATAACATAAACGCATCAGCCACTAGACGCACACTGTTGACAATCATTGGCCCTCAGTAACTTTCAGATTACACTGAATCCTAATATGAAAATGTTTGTCATTGATACGAAGCCGCTGTCAGTTGCTAGTAACTAATAAAAAGTACACCGTAGCGGAATGCCCTGCGTGGGCTGAGCACCGCCGTGCCCTCAGGGAAGTGATCGGCGATGGCGACCTCTCGCGTCCGGGCCTAGTGCAGGCCATGATGCGGAGCGAGGGGGACTGGGATGCCGTCTCCTCCTTTTGCGAAGCAGTCATGCTAGCTAAGGAGGAGGCGGGACGCGTGAGGCAGCGAAGCGCTGCCTCCTCGCAACCCAGCCATCGCGAAGGACACACCGGGCGTCGGGGATCGCGGGACGATCTCCGGCCACCGTAAGCGCGGGCCTGCGGACGGCGAGCATGGGTGGCTCCCCGTCCGACCAGAAACAGACCCGAGCGTACGGCGCGTCGCGTTCCGCGCGCGCCTCAAAGAGCCATCAGACCACCACAGATGGGGCCCAATAGGGCCGATGCCGATTCGGAGTCGCGGAGAACCTAACGGGTAACCGGGGCTCCGGCTCGACGTACAAGAGAAGGAACGGGGTGGTTTTTAGTCAGTAAGAGTCTGACACTCCCTTCCGCCTCACCCAGGCGGGATTTTCATTGATGATTTTCCCCCCTTAAAAAAAAAAAACTAATAAAAAGTGGGTGATAAATATGTGTGCATGCATAATGCTGGTGTAACATTCACTGAGGTCGTTTTGAACTGGTTTTCGGTGCCCCTATTGGTTTGATTTGATCCATACATCCAAGCCACGGGCATCTTGAACAAGATATTAGACATGAACGGAGTGCGGTAGTCTGAGAAACTTGCAGCTTGGTGACTTTGTTTCCGTTACCTATAATTTGTAAGTCTTTGCTATTACTAACAGCGGAGTTCAACCAACTTCACATCACCAGTTGGCAGTGTGGTAGGCGACGAATGCTAATGAAACACCTGTATAACTACCTAAGTCAGAATAACGTCGCCTTAGTGCTTATTTGTCCTATCTACACTCGGGTGAATTTTACAACAGACGAGTTTCTATCTCTATTTCTTATAAAAAGCTTTAGTTTGTAGATTTGAAGAATTTTCTTAATTATACGTGTACCCTAGAAATTAATAACTGTTACTTTCTTATGTGATGATTATATATTATAGGTTAATTTACGATTTTAATTTGGAGATAGAACATTTATGCACAACTATAATTATGTATGTGGACTTAGAA